TATTGATAGTATTGGTCACAGAAGTATTGATGCCAATAAAGTTCAACCACCACAATTGACCAACGAATCAAATAAAAACATCAAACATAATATCAATTGTTTATCAACTACAAGGACTGTCCCAATTGATTATGAGGTAAAATTAACAGGAAATTATAATTCTACATGCACTGAAGAAAACGTCAGCATAGTGGCTAATGAACTCACGGGTCATAATGAGTTGATTGGAGTCCAAGTTCAGGATCAATTCAAGACGGTCAAAACTAATAAGTATATAAAAAAAAAAATTGGTTGATAATAAATAGTAAAAGTGTACAGTATTATGTTTTTTTTTTTCAGAAAAAAACTCACAGACAATGAATCAGATGGTACAGAAGACGATGATACACCAGCGTTTACTTTGGGCAACAAGAAGAAGTACGTACAAGTTAACAAAGACTCGATGTTTGAAATGTGCAATGTGGTCGTACGTCACCCGGTGTTTCTTGAAGAACAAGATACTGGTCGTCTGATCGTGAATTTTGGATTCCTCAATCACAACGAGAACCACGTGCCACTAGTAAACGGATCGGTTGTTATTAACGAAAACCAACAGTCAATGTTTACCTCTGTAGGCTTCGATTTCGCCAAACGATTTCAACGGTCAAACAATCCGAGTGTGCGCGAATTGAAGGTAATCGCATTAGTTTTATCCGATCACAACCCACCGTATATACGTACTGATGTAGCATGTGATTTATGTGCACAATTTTTATTCCACCACAGGAAATGAAAGCCATAAGCATGCTTACGGTTCCTTCAAATGTCTATTTATTGCAACGAATCGCAGATGAAGAAGAGCTAATATTGCAATATGAAATTAACGAAACCTGTCCGCAAACGATTAGTACGATTCCCAGATATCCATCATATAAAACTAAACCGTTAAAATACTTATGTACTTACAGGAAAAGATTTTTTGTGTTCAGCTGATGATAAATCATTGTGCACTGACGTTCGTTGGTTTCGGTGAAACGTTACTCAAAGATCAAGAAGATGCGGCTTATGAGTGTTTGACTCGTTCAAAATTAGTCCCAAAAAATTAAATGTACAATCAAAGCAGTAGATGTCTACAGTAAGTTTATATAAACTATTATAAATTAAATGAAAACTTATCACTTATTATCTACCACGATGTACTTTTACCGGCCTTAATCCAATATTTAAAGTTTGTTTTTTACACCTTATATGTTAAATTTATCTTTACAACTAATACATACGATTTTATAATAGGTAATAGTGTGATACAAGCGGATTAAACGGGATTTCAAATATTTATCGGTGTATGTGTTTGGGTCACTCTGTACAATAATAAGACCCGATGACATTTTAGATTGTCAGCACCGTAACCGTACAGAAACAATACAAATTGAAAATATCGTTTAACACAGTATATTGATTCGCTTTGTAGAATATCTTACTTTCTATCGACATCTACTTTTAATCATTTAATCATATCATAACATAAACAATTGTTAAATAACACTATGTACTATGGCTAAAACCATAATTTAATTACCTACTGTTTATCAATTGTAATAAAATATTTATTAAAATGACAGTGACTATTTACCATTGTAAATTATTTCAAAACAAAATTATGCAAACTTAGAAAATTATCCATTAGTTATTAATATTATCATAAATCATTATGATAAATATATTTGGTTTTATGTGCTCCGTTTACGACAAAGTTATTAACATAAAATATCAATTTTTGCGATTTTCTAGTACATCACAGTAAAATACATTCATCTTTGTTTTTACCATTAAAATACATTCATTGCTGTATTGTATGTCTTGCACCAGAGCTATCACATCACATGATGTAATATTTTTTTTATATGAATGAATTTTCATATTCATATTTTTGCATTTTGATAATACTCGTATAAGCTAAAATTGATTTTAAATTTTTTACCAAAACAAACTTATTATAGTTTCATTAGGTTAATAACCTTACTTTAAGATTTTCCTTAAAATCAATACTAATAAGTTTGGCGATACAATTTTGCAACCGAATTCCTACAGTTAGAATTTATTCATTATTTCCATACAGCGTAATGTGTCACCAATAAAAATATATCGTTCGATCACGAAATTAATACCGTGTAATCATGTGAAGAATAAATATATGAAACAAAGATTATAACAAAATGAGTTAATTGAACACTGCTACACTGGAAATCAATTGTGACTAGCCTATACAACGTCAGAGTAGAAAAATTTAATATTTATATTCTAATCTGCTATTAGAGTTTTGATTTCAAAAATAATATCATATCGGTTTATGAATGGAAATAAATCCAAGTGTATTACGATGCGATCAACTTAAAATTGCATCAACTATTTTATTTTTTTCTTAACAATACTATATAAGCGTTATTCACATCTCAATTCATGTGCAATGCAATAGACACGATTTATATAAGATGAAGTGTTACCGCTAGTACAAATTTCGATCGCAAATTTTCTCGGCAGTTCAGTAATACAGATGTCTCGGGCAGGTAGCGCTACCATTCGCTCAAAGGCCGGTTTTTAACTGTGAATACTTTGTTTTAATGTAAAATATTAAAAATGTCTACACATTTTTGTTGTTTTTGATAATATTACTTAAAAATTAAAAATAGTAGCAAAATAAGAATTATTTTTAAGTAATCATTTTATTCAATTAGGTACGATTTAAAATAGTTTCAATTAAGGAAGTTTTATTATACTACTTATTTTTTAACAACTACATGGTTATATCTGTTTAGACCGCTTAGCTAATTTTTTTGTTTTTATTATTCTCTCGAGTGGCGTTCTCTGCAAAACATACAAAATACATTCTGAATTATAAATAAAATTTAATACTCTACATTTACACATTCTAAAAAAAATTCCATATATTTTTAATATACATATAAAAAAATAAAATGTCTCTAGATTTGATAGTAGTATAAAAAATGTATGAATGGATGATGAGTGTTTTTCTTAGTAAAAAATAAATAGTGGAGATTTATCAGATGATACGGGAAAGATCTTATCAATTATGTAATCTATTTTACTATTATTAGTGCTGTCAATTTATTATTATAAATTCATGGGCTAGCAGTAATTCTCAACTGGGGGATCGCTAAAAGTTTTTTTAGGGTCGCATCATGTGAAAAAAAATTATTTTAAATCAACAACAGCAAAAGAGTCATTAAATTAAAAAAATATTCAAATTTACATTATTTTTATTTTATTTTTTTCTATTAATTAACGCCAATCGGCTTTTATAGTATACCTTTTTTTGTAAAATGTATACACAAATAAATACAATGATAACAGTTTGTAAAATGTTTCAATGTTTACATTAAAAAAGAGTCGTTAGATATATTGGTGACATTATAGGGGGTCGCAAACTCAAAAAGGTTGAGAACCGCTGGGCTATAGATTATAAGGATACGTTATAAAATCACTAGGTTTAAATTTGAACAAAACAATAATTGTATAATTATTATACATTTATTTATTAATAATAAGTTAGTTGCCTATGTATTAGCCCAGACTGCATTATATGATGCGTTTAGTATTACTCTGGACCGGACTACCCAACTTTATGAATAAATATGTACCTAAAGTTGTAGGTTTTTTCGTTTTATTTTTTTACATAATAATATCTGTATTTAGATTTTAAGTACCATGATTGGGATCGAACTGGATTGATTTTCATTTCTTTCTTTTGAAACCGGTCCGGACTGAAAATAATACATTTAATCTGAGGACTGGACCGAACTACTCCTAAAAATTATTGAACCGGACCAAACCGACGATTCAATAACTGAAGGATGGGTGGGAATAACGTGCTATGTAACATTTTTTCGGATTTCATGTTTTTACGGAATAACGTGCTATGTATATTTTGAACCAAAAATTAAAATGATGCCAAATACGGTAGATGAGATGTACTATAATATATGTGCTACAATTTAAATCGTTAATCTTAAAAGTAGTAATTTCTATTCAATACATTTAAAATTTATATTTTACATATTTTAGTTGGTTGTTATTCAAAAGGGCCCTCAAAAAAAAAAAAAATATATAAATGTGACAGTGGATCCGGCCTTGTATATTAATCACGATTTCATATAATAGGAATAACAGGAATACGATTTAATCTACAATCCTAACCGTTACCGCAATCTGCGTTTGACTGTTAAAGCGTTTATACTAGTTTGAAAACGTACGAAGAAATATACGAGGAAAGCAAAACTTATTCCGGCGGTTAAATTTTATAGTTAGTGCGTCTCAAAGAGATACTACATACTTGTATATTGGTAGCAGTGTTGGGACTTATCTAGGTAGATTTGTTGTCATCTTTTATCTTATCTAGATAAATAACGCTAAGTTATCTAATTACTTATCTAAGATAAAATGTTTACTTATCTAGATAATTGTCTGAATTCTTGGCAAAATTAGAGTTATTTTTATTCTTGTATGGAGACGAATCCAATAAATCAGAGATCATCAAAATCGGTCCAGCCGTTGATGAATTATAAATTCTGTAACTAACTCGACTTTTTTTTATATATATAGATTTTGTATTCATAATTATAATTCGTGTATTATTAATAAGTAATTATTATTTCTTGGTATGACATTTTGTTTGTATTTTCATGTCGGAAAAATATCTTTGGTATTTTTAAACTTAATTTCTTATTTTTCCATGGAAGTTCCAAATATAGTTATTATTATTATACATATTTGATTTTAGTATATACACGTAACTCATACACTGAATAGTCAATACTTCACTCTTGGAACCCGTAAAGTCGTAACTACTTATAGAATAATGAAAATCGTCAAATTGAAATTATATGGAAAACAATATTGTTAACTTAAAATAATCTCTTATGTATTCTGTATTAATCCTGATACTAAGCAATTCATTGTTTTTTTTTTGTGTCACATTTTAGTGATTAATTATTATTAAGTATTATACTTTATGTATAAATACTGCTAAATTACACTACATTACTACAATAAACATAAAAAACTTAGGTATCTATTGATTATAATGATTATAATTGTATTTTCATAGATATTGTTACAAATATGAAATATTGAACAACAAATAACATTTTTTGAAAATATCTTTTTTTTATCTAGATAAAAATGAAATTATTTTTTATCTTTATCTAGATGAATTTGGACATATTGTCTTTCATCTTAATCTAGATAAATTTTGCATTATTTATTCCCAACACTGATTGGTCGGTATCTCAATGTGTAGAAAATTTTCTTATTTACACGGAACAGGTAAAGAAAAGATAACATTTAAGGTTATAATCACACGCAAAGAACAACACTTCTTCACCCGGCTAAATATGTAATAAAAACTTAGAGACTTTTGTTCAGTTTATAATAATACATGCGTGTACCAGTGTCGGATTTAACTATTGTGCTTTTTTAAGCACTAAAAAAATTGCCGCCTTTTAATATAAATATTTTTCTAGTCTAAAAAATTTTAAAAGCATACAATTATAGTTGTTTCCTTTATTACTTAAAATTTTAATGATGTAAAATAAAAATGTTCAGCTGTTATAAAAATGCATACATACATTTTTATGAAAAACTTAATTATAAAAATATGATATAATATAATGATAAAACACATGGTAGTAAAAAATTCTTAAATAGTTAATTTTTAAATTATATTCAAAATTAAATAGTTAGTGCCTAGTACCCATTGGCTAAAATAAAATAAAACATTTTATAATTAGTTGTATTTATTTTAGTTCTAGTTACATATAATAAAAATTTAATATTAAAAATTATTTGGTACCCCTGAGAAATTGCCGCCCTAAGCACTAGCTTATAATGTTTAATGGGAAATACGGTATATCCTACAACTGTACTGAACTTACTCGGGTGGAACCCTACAGTCAGTGGCGTTTTGAATTCATTTTTGCGAGTGGAAAAAAATGAATATAATTGTATTACTACCTTAGGTACCCTTCCTCTTTATCCATCCAAACGGTATTCAATATTTACAGTTAAATATACCTGTTTTAGATCCTAG